TACTACTGTACTGCCATCAACAAATTCACTTGTTTCGCTAGCTACATTTCTACACGAAAATTGTTTCAATTCTCCAGTTTTCCACAGTGGTTCAAGAGTTTTGGCGGCGGAATGTGTAAGCGTGAAACGCATATTATGAAATAATTTGCTCCATTGTTTTCACAATGACTCTGAATGCGGCCACATATTTTGACTATGCTCAGTGCTCGACGAACTCGCGAACAAAATTAAAACTTGATTTGGTCTTTTTGATGTAAGCCACTGAACGATGTGCACAAAGCGAAAATTGAAGACAACAGAATACTGAACGATAAAAAATATATATAATGGCAGCAACAACAATAAACAACAACGGCAACGGCAACGGCAGCAAACAGTCATTGGTGCATTTGTTGTTGTATTGTGTGCATGAGCGACGTGCATTCGAAGAGCAATAAAATAGAAATGAAATACATCACGCTGCATGAGCATAATTTACAAAGCGTACAGCTAGCGAATCACAAAAGTGCACACTCACAGAGCACACAAGGTAAGAAAGCTTGCCATTCGATTATATCAGCTGGAAAAATCTAAATTATTCAACAAACCGAACAACAACAACAAAAAACATCACATTTGATTGTTTCGGTGAGTGTTATTTCAACAATAACAACAGCGAAAAAAAATATAACAGAGCAACATGACTAATTTACAAGCCGAAATATTATTATACAATCTATTTGTCCCATGAAACTGAAAACCTATCTATTATACCATAAATGTTGAATAAATTATGCCGAAATATTGCGCATTCAAACAGAAAGAATGACACTTTCGAATGCACGCACAAAATCAAACATGATTTATTCAAAATTGAACAAAGGAAGAAAGACTATGAGGAAAATCCATAATAAATTCCATCAGAAAAAAATCAGAAAAAAAATCTTATGAGAAATTCGAGCAATTTCCATTCGACTTGATCCAATTTTCAGAAATTTGAATGGGATATTTTCAGCCATATGAATCAACTCAGGGCAGCTAACGTCAGCTGCGCTGAAATTGAGTGCAAACAATTGAAGCGATTGCTATAGTGATTGTAACAATGGACGTGTTTTTATAATTATAACAATCACTTCTATTGTTGTCGCACCATTTCAGCGCAGCTGACGTTAGCTGCCCGAGCTGATTGGACGGGCTAAAAATATCTCAATATAATTTCTGCTATTTTTTTTTGTATTTATATTCTTTATGAAAAGCAAAACGGTGAAATAAATATTTGAGTGCGTAAAATTACCTTTTTCGTCCGAAACAAATGGAGTCATACAAATGAGATGTTGCACCGATCAATCAAATATGATTCAATGAAAAAAACTTCCTCGAAACTGTTACAATCTTAAGTTCACGTACACGATATGATTGGACGCGATACCTTTAATTTGACGATGCGAATTACGAAACACAATAAAAAAATAACTAACACGCGTCTACACTGAATTTGCAATTTAGCAAGCGATTTATTGACGGTTTGATGAGTGGCTCTGTTGAGCGCGCGCGTTCAAAAACGAAAGAGAATTCTTTGATTTCTTTTGATCAATTCTCCGGCCTGTGGTCAATTTCCGTTTTATTGCCTTTAATAAATGAGCGTTTCTTGTCGATTCAGGTTTTTAGCGTTACGTAAATTGTTTATATATTCTCGTCTCTCTCGTTTGAGGAAAAATCCGTAATCAAATTACACACTCTTCGCGATCCAATAAAATAATTTTCAATTACAGTTTCTTTTCTCTTCTCTTAATACTCGTGTATTTATTTCTTTCCGCACTTCTTAGCTGCTTGTGGTGAATGTTACTAAATAAGACAAAGCAAACAAAAATATAAACTAAAAAATTGAGTTGCGTACTACTTTTTTTCGGTCGTATATTTTCGTTTGTTTCGTTGTTTTCTGGAGAATGTTTGCGAATATATATATATGTGCCTCCTCTCACTCATTGCACGTACAAAATCGTATGATCATATACGTACATACACTCTCACACATAAAATTGCTTGCATTGCGGTTATCCGATCAGTCAACGACGTGCAAATGCCAAAACCCATTACGAACACACAGAGCACAGAGCACAGCACGGTAAACGAAAACATAAAGTGTAGTACCGAATGGCAGAAAACGATGATGTTAAAATAAAAAGAAAAAGAAGAAGAAGAAGGAAAAAAGAGTGGCTTGAGCGCGCCAATTTCAATCCGCAGGTATGAAAAGACAACCGAATGCTACATTTAAACTGAGCACGAAGGAACTACTTTCACCAACTCTTTGGCGTCTCTTCTTTGCAAACTTTTATAGTATATATATATATATATTATTTTCGTGTGTGTCGTTTTTTGGCTTTAACTTCGACTTCGAGTGTTTTCTGTGCACTTCGTTTCACCACTCACTCAGGTAAAAACGCTTACGACTTCTTTTCGTTTCGAATGTCGAAAGAGAGGTAGAAACAAACGACGAAGCAAATGAAGGAAAAAGCAAATCGTGTACAATTTTTCTTATGTTTCTTTTTCGGGGTTTCCTTTGCATGGCGTCTTTTGACGACTATCTTATAATGCCCAACCAAACAGCAACAACGTTCGTTTTAAAAATTAAAGTAGGTGAATGCTGGAATGGCAGGACCAACAAGCCAAGTGATTATATACATCCGAAGAACACGAAAAAGGACCGAAACAAAATGATCATAAAACGACTTTTTTGTTCTCTTGCTCTTCTCGTTATTTCAATAGGCTTGTTGCTTTTGTTCAGCACCGCGCGAAACACCATTAAATATGTTCAAGAGTTCAAAAGACGAAAATGGTCGTGCGGAACGAATACATGTAGAAAGGTGAAAAAATAAGCCAAACGAAAAATTTCGTCAGCAAGAAAAAGATGGACGCAATATAATGATGTCGTTTTTTTTTACTGTCTATGCTGCGATTTATGTATGTATGTGCCTTGAACACGAATGATTTATGGTTTCAATCAATTGGAGCACAAGAGACAACCATAGTTCGACCCGTCTCGTTTCTATTCATGTCGTTTTCGTCTAGCCATTTTTTACATTGGAATTTTGGCTTTGAACATTTTTGACTGTATGATTTGAGTCATTTATGCGGAATTTTACCGTTTTTCAGGTTAAATGCTCTTTTTTTCTACATTGTTCGATGGAAAGCACTGGCATTGTTCTCGTTAAAACTAGTTTTTTTAGCGCGTCGTACAAGTGATACTGACGAAAAGAGACGAAAAAATGTCGTCGCTATGAAGTTTGATTTGGTTTCAATGTTATATTGATTTGATAAATTAAGGGCGACGTGATTTGAATCTGTACTATTTTCATTTATATATCGAAAACGAGGAAGCTAGAGTAGATAATGCAAAATGCAAAGTAACAAAAAGACACACGCAAAGCTGCGGGGCGCTATGCATTTTTCATTCGTTCCAACAATGTGCGTCGACGTCAAATTTATTATCGACTCATTCGTTTCTAAAGAAACGCAAACTTCGTCATTGCTTTCGTCATTGATATGATACAATGTTTTTTTCCTCTCTCTCTCTCTCTCTCTCTCTCTCTCTCTCTCTCTCTCTCTCTC